GTAATCGACAACTGAGACCTGCGACACAGGCAAACATTAATTTCCACCTCATGATTTTGCGAACAGAAGCGATTATGCAGGCCAAATCGCCAGCTAGCAGCAGTTAAACTGAATTGCAGGAAGAGAAAAAAAAAGGAAAACATAACAAATAAGGAACGAATTCCCCTGACATCACATCTCTATACAGGTTCGTTTTGCAACAAATACTGCCAGCAACACCCAAGGGTTTGTTCACCAATGCTTATTCCTCCTCGATATATCATCGTGTTAGAAGAGTACTCGTCTTCATCTTCAGGTTGGTGACCTATGGGAGTGTAGCTCTCAACTCCTTTCTATCTGCGCCAAATGACTGCATCATCAAGTAGTGCGTGTTAGAACTGGTTCATCAATCCCCTTGAATGTTCAAAGTGCAGCCATGGTTCAACCAGTACATAATAATCTAATATAGCACATACTCCCTCTGTATCAAAATGTGAGACGTTTTTTGACAGTCAGTGTCAAAAATCGTCTTATATTAAGTTACAGAGGTAGTACAGAAGAAAACATACTTTCAAGAGGCAATGAAAACTGTCGGTTATGACTAAAATCGTAAAATTTTAGTACTCCATCTCGTTACTGTGCAACGGCAGTTACGATTCAATTCTTTGCAACTTAAAACTACTAGCACAAAATGAGCAGAAACAAGACATTAGACTAAAATGCCAGTTCACAAGATTAAAAGCTGTGACCATCAGTTTGACCAGTCCAGAATAACTTCAAGATAAAAATGGTGAATTCACTTCGGAGTAGCCTACATAAATTAGATCAGACAATAACTGACCTCAACGCCGAAACCCTTGACGTAGACATTTGTAAAGAGCTCAGAAGCATCAGGCATAGGACTTTCCTGGAGATATCAATACATGTATATGTAAGTGATAAGCACAACTAATTTAGAGTGCACAAAAGGAGTATATCCAAATGCAACGGTAACCTTGGCTTTAGCAATGGCAGCGTCGACTTCTTTCCTAATTTCTTTCTCCATGTCCTGAGATGAAAACATATTCATAGTAAGAATTAGAACTTTCCTCTTATTTAAATGGTAATTCTGTATCTATGATTCTCACTTGCTATTTATACAATAATCATAACTGACGATTTTCAATACAATCACATACATACCTTGAGCTCAGCAGGGGTTGCTAGGTCATGAGCCAAGAGCAACTTTCTAACCCTTTCAATTGGATCACGCTCCTGTTGGTACCACAAAACAAATAAGTCTGAAATAGAAATATTTGGAAGCAAACAACGTTCAAACTAAAAGGTCACAACATTCCAACCTGTCTTACACCCGAGATCTCATCCCTGGTGCGGTAAGTGCTTCCTGGATCTGACATAGAGTGGCCGTGGTACCTATACGTGTCCATTTCAAGAACCTAAATAATGGGACAATATTAGTAACTATCATGCACTACTAACAAAATAACTACACATTACAAAACTATCCAAAAATCATATTATTCACAATAGGTGGACTAATATGGAAATAATCACGGCCATATATAAGACGACTGTAACTGCCCGTTAAATTAAGTAGCAAAAAGAATCAGCAGCAGCCAACATTACATTAAAGTTAGCATCGGGTCAATCAGTGTTCAAAGCTGTCATCAGGCCATAAGCTTGTGCATAGCATTTCCATACTTCATGATTTAACGGGTGTTTTAGCGGTTAGACGAAATTGACATGGCAAAACAATGTGACATTTGGGGTTCTGGAAACAGAACAATCAAGTGCTTCGATGGGAAACAATGGAAGGCAGAAGATGATGGAATCAGTGTTAGAAGATTGATCATCAAAGTATACAGCCATTTCAGATCCAAGTCTCCAATCCATAAATCACCTATATGGAACTATCGCAAACATATATTTCAAGCCACCTACTGTAGACAGCCATCAAGTGATAGACTAACAAGCAAGGCCAAATTCTTGGAGACAGGTCCAGCAAACTATTAATGTCAGGCAAATCTGAAACCTGAGCTAGGCATAGCAGATGATTTTTTTTCAGGAGAAAATGGGGTGCAGGTAAATTAAGTTATTACAGTCTTAGGCATTAATCCTTGCTAAGAACCTAAGCAAGAAATATAAAAGAATGGCTAGCAGCGCCACAGAACTAGGACAACCCCTAACAAAATATGAAGCACTGCACTGATATGCATACTTAAACTATAGAAGAAACAAAAATTCTTGGGCACTCACAATTGGGCCATTTGCAATGGCATGCTCCTTCGCAAATTTGCATGCCTGCTTCACAGCAAGAACATCCATTCCGTCGACCTACACCAAACATAATTTGAGGATGTTAATAGGACATAAACTACTCCTAAGTAAACATTGTAGCTCCTATACATAGAAACATAGTAACTTATGACAAATTAAAGCTGCCCTCAGGTAAACATAGTAATAATGAATAAATTATTTAAGAAACTACTTCCTGTACATGTTGGAACAGCTAGGCATGCGTTAAAATAGCATAGTGAACCAATTATATATCCTTCGACCAAGGAAGGCCTCTTCTGTAACTGAAAAGACATATATAGGTAGAATCTATGAGGTCAACCCTCCATTTAAAACACACCAAAAGCAATCAGACATACCACTCATAGTAATAGAATTCACGATGCTAATCAACCCTCATCAATCCATGCACAATGATGAGCAAAATCAACCAAGAGGGATTCGAATTTACCTTCAATCCAGGCACATAGTCACCACGCTTGTAGTAGGAGGGGCTCTTGGCCGCCCTCCACTCAGCCGTTCCCATCCCGTCTGCATAACGGAAATATCCAGCAGATCGCGTCACGTCAGGTAAAAAAAAAAACAGGTATCCAGATGCAATCCGAATTTCCTAGGATCGGCGGACGAACTTACAATGGTTGTTCTCGCAGACGAGTATGGCGGGCAGCTTCCAGAGGGCCGAGATGTTGAGCGCCTCAAAGAGCTGGCCCTGGTTGGCGGCGCCATCGCCGTAGAGGGAGAAGGAGACGGTGTCCTCCTTCCTGTACTTCTGCGCGAAGGCGAGGCCGCAGCCGAGGGGCACCTGGGCGCCGACGATCCCGTGGCCGCCGTAGAAGTTGGCGTCCTTCTTGTAAAAATGCATGGATCCGCCCTTGCCGCGGGAGCAGCCGACCTGGCGGCCCATGAGCTCGGCGAAGGCGGTGACGAGGTCGCCGCCGCGGGAGAGGAAGATGCAGTGGTCGCGGTAGGCGGTGATGATGGAGTCCTTGCGGGTGATGGCGGCCTCCATGCCGGCGCAGACGGCCTCCTGGCCGTCGTAGAGGTGGCAGAAGCCGCGGATGAGCTTGGCCTTGTAGAGCGAGTCGGCGGCGATCTCCATGCGGCGCATGAGGGACATGTCGTGGAAGAAGGCGACGAGCTCGGCGGGGGTGGTGGCGACGTCGCGGGAGGGCGGGTCGACGATGTGGGCCGTGAAGGGCATCGAGGTCTCGATGGTGAGCGGCGCCG